GGGCAAGTCCCCACCTGTGCCTCTCTGGGGCTGTGTCCCCTGAGACCTTCACAGATCCCCCCCAGACTGCCCATGGTCTGTGTAACACCAGCTGTGAGATAGCAGTCTAGACAATCTCTGGCAGATTTTTATCTAACCCATTCATTAAAAAGTCCTGATATAGTGTCTTATTATCCTTCAGTTGGGAAAGTTCACACAAATCTTCCCTGATGTACATGGAATCTATTATTTTCCAGCACCAGCCCTTCTAGAGGTCACAGGGAGCAACTGATCTCATCACCATCCTTGATTGCCATTCTCTTTCGTGGAGGCAAGACTGTAATCATGCCTTTCCTCAGGCTTCTCTTCCTGTGACCCTTTCTAAATGTCTTTCTATTTTTTATGTCCCTTTCCAGCATTTTCCTAATTGCCTCTCTCTTGTTCAGAGCAGCACTCAAAACTGGATACAGCCAGTACTGAACAGTGGTTTGATTGCTCTCCTATGTCTTACATGTCATTTTACTGTCAACACACAACAGCAAAATATTTGCCTTTCCCTGTAACTTTTCAGTGGGGAAGTGCCCAATTTGGCCATCAAAATTTGAGCACTCTCTAAACAGCACTTGTTTTTTTTCTGAGCTTCCTCTAACAGAGAGAAAAAGGTATAGAGATTTGCACAAGGAAAAAATTCCCTAGGTACTTTAGGTTTATCAAAATAACACAGGGAGAACAAAAAACTGTGGATGGATGGATGGATGGATGGATGGATGGATGGATGGATGGATGGACGGACACACACACATAAACTTTATGTGGGGACACATTTGAAAGGTTTATGTATATACTGTATATATTAGGTGTATATTAAAACATTACATTAATGTCCTCTGCTTGTAAGAAATGTTTTAAATTTCCAGCATCAGCTTCTCCCGTACATTATCATGGATACAGGGTAACATACATAAGTGTTTCAAAATCTGTGTGAGGTCTCTGCTGCTGGTTAAGTATGAATGATAAAACACCTTTTAGCACAACCTGCTTTCTTGTCCATCAGACTCTTTCCTAATATGTCATTAGTCACAAACAACCTGCTTAGAGAGACTGATCCATGTCCTTGCTGCAGAATTCCCCTTTTGTCCCATCACTGTGGATACATCATTCAGTGGTTTGTCCTGTATTGCCAAAATCACTGTCATTTGAGGGGTACATTTTTGAAGAAGCTGATATTTTTCACTGTCATTTCTGAATGACAAAATGGGATGTGGGGAAATGTTTAATCTCCAGAGATTCTCAATGGTGACAGTTCCCAAGTTACAGAGCACACAGCAGAGAGGGGGTCTGTACTCTGTTCTTGGAATGGGAGGTGTAGCACCCTAAGGATGCCTTGTAATAATTTGAACTGAGTGGCTCAAATATAGCTGTGGTTGGGATGTTCTTAATGTCACTTCTACACATTTATCTTGCAGAAGTTTCTGTCTGTTTTTAAAGTTACAGGTCTACTAATTTTCATTCTTAAGATTTAATTTCATCCCACAGATGGAGATGCTATCCATGATAAAATACATAAATGAAAAGGAAAGGGAAAAAAACCTAACAACCCAGCAGCATTACAACTAGTCTAGAAGCTGTTGCTTTTAACTTGCTGGAGATAATGGCAGACATATGAAGGATGTTTCTTTTTTGCTGTGCTCCATATGCAATGTGCCAGGAGGGGAGGCAGAGCTGCAGGGCTGCTGGTGCCTGTGCTCAGAGGCTGCTGAGTGCAGCTCTGACAGGCTCAGCTCCACGGAGGGCTAATGAGGAGATGCTGAATGGGATGTGAACTCATCAAACCACGCTAACAAGACTTTGCTGGAAAGGTCCTTACATCGTCTGAGTGTGCATAAGGGATGAGCAGTGTGAGCAAAACCACAAATCTCTTTATAAGCAGAGCTTTATTCCTAACACAGCAATTAAGCAGTAATTGGAAGTTTTGTGAGTAATGGGAATAGTTGTGTGAAATTAAGAGTTCTTGTCCATGGGGAAATATTACATAGTGCCAGCATCTCAGAGGGGTGGAAAAAGTAAAGCTGCAAGTAAAGCTCAGATATTTTTCTCACATTAATAGCAATCCCAAATGAATTTCCACTCTTAATTTATGAACATGTGAACAATTTATGAACAATTTATGAAGCATTCATTTTGAAGTAAATAATAACTTTTTTCAGCTCTGTTGAAAGGCCACTAAAATGGAGAAAAATAAAATCATAGAATTATTTGGGTTGAAAAGCATCTTAAAATCATCTAGTTTGAACACCCCTGCTGTGGGCAGGGACAACTTCCACTAGATCAGGCCTTGAACACTTTCAGAGATGGGGCATCCACAGCTTATATGGGCAATAGTTTTGACTTTAAAATATTATTTTTCTGCATTTTTTCTCAGAAGGAAGACAATTCTGCTGTAGTGGGAGGTAATCCATTGTAAAACTCGTTAAAAAAATCAGTACTTGAATGTTGAATTAAAAGATTTTGAACTTGACTTCACACAGAAGCACTTCCATAACTGATGTGTAAATATACCTGTATTTATCAGAGTTTCTCTTCCTCTATCTCATAAGCAGCTCTCTGCCCACATTTTCATGCTTGTAATTCCTGTTAGACAATAGTATGGCAGCAATGAGTTATCAGTGCTCTGGATTTGGGACATGCTTTCTGTCACCTGTTGTACATACTGATTCATGGTCCCTCCTCATACACACCTGAGCATCTCTGGATGCCCCCAGATTAATTTTCTGTGAGTAGTTCATTTGGTATGATTTGTAGAAACAAATGATGTTCACAAAATGCCATATAAACCCAACTTGTATTGAATGCTTGCACACAGAGTTCATGGTTTCTAAATACTATTTATTTTCCAAACTGTTTAGAATATATAGTTATACAGAACATTCTGCCTTTAAGCAGGACTTAAGATTAGAATCCTTCGGGGGAAGAGAAATCCAGTAAATTGATTTTAAAAACATAATGACTGATACAACTTCTGTAAATATCATCAATCACTTCTGTTCCATTTTATCCTCAGCTTTTCTGTCTTGGTCTTTCTCAGCTTTAATTTTTAAATAGGGAAGCAGTCAATTTTTAAGCAGTCAATTCTTCTGCTTCTGTTTCTGTCTTACCTGTTCACAGTTATGTTTTTATAAACAGAAACTGTTAGCAGTTTTAAATGGGGTACAAACTTTCTAAAGAGAAAACACCTATCAAGATCATTAAATGCACAGCACTGACAGATACAGATATGGAGCTGAGCCTGATTCTGGTTCTGCCTGATGCAGCTGCTCCATCCTGGTATATCAATTTGTGTCACACTGCAGCAACAGCCACAGTTCTACCTGAAAAAGTTCTCCAAGACTGAAAAGCCCTTTGCTTGAAACTCGCCATATAGAGAAAATCTGTGCCACATCTGTAATGCCATCCCAGTTATGTGGGCAAAGGAAAAGGCATAAAATTACATAAAATTACTTTCCTCGCTTTTGGCATCCTGCATTGAGGCAAGCTCACCCGAGGTGAAAGCCAAAACTTGTATTTATCTTCTTTCTTTAAACTGATTCCTGAGGGCTTTTTTCATGCTTTCATTCTAGCAATGTTTTCTTTGTGCATGAGGTTTTTAATGCAACCTTCTTAATTTATAAGAACTCAACTTCTAATTCCCATTCCCAAAGCTTTCATGTTTTGTATTGATTTGCCTGCCTCACGGATAAATAAAATTTTCTTGTAACACTACTTCTATTACTTTCCTTAGATAGCAGACTGTCTTAGAGACTTTCTGATTGCGCATCCTACAGGATGTAGACTTCGAAAATTGCTTTGTGAAAGTTAAAGGTCCAGGGTTCTTTTGTTTTGGTTTTTTTTTTGGTTTTTTTTTTGGGGGGGTGGGTATGTCCTGTTGTCAGTTAATTTAGAAAAAGCACTTTGGTTTCCCCGATTCACATCATTACATCCCCAAAAAGAAAATTACTAGCATAAAACGATGTTTCTATGATATTCTGTATTTTTCTTGAATTTTCAAGTGTGGTATTTTTTTTCAATGCTGGTTGATTCAACTGCATCTGTTTTCTTTTTAGTCTTTAATTTATGTTGGGCTGTAAACTGTCCAAGTAACAATTTGAGTGATGCAGCAACAGAAGGCGACCCAGATTACACAACACTGTACGCTAATGCCAAGTCTTCTTGTTTAATGGCAGCTGCTCAAAGCTTTGTGTTATTCCTATTCACATGCAGCGGACACAAATCAAACAGCCTCCTCAGGCACACATCCCACAGATCCTCATTTTAAACATGTTCAAGAGCTGCTGCTTTTCATACACAAACAGCAGCCCATTTAGCTTCCTCGGCTTGTATTTACCCTCAGCCATCTGACACAATTATAAATGAAACCCATTGTGACTTCCACTATTTTGCACACTTCTGTTTATGTGGAAGTTTGCTGAGAACATTTTTTCTCTATAAAAGTAGCTGGACTTTCATGCGTCCATACATATTTTGCAACACCAAATACATCACATTTGTTTAATATCTGCTTTCTCTAGAGGCTGAAAAGTATATATAATAAAGCAATACTACTGGAAAAAAATAACATGAACAGTTTAAGCAGAAGATTAATTAGTCTAGATTTTAATCAGAAAGGTTTAGATTTACTAAATGAGTGGTATCAAAAAGCAGACTTTAAAGTATAGGTACAGTTTTAGCAAAATAATTTATTGCTGTACCTTGAATGTGCAAAGCAACAAAATGCTTCCCTTCCTTATTAAAAAAAAAAAAAAAAAAAAAAAAAAAAAAAAAAAAAAAAGTTGAAGCACGGAGATCAGGACAAGAAAGCTATCAAGCAACGAGTTCATACAACTTAGTTTCATGGACCAAATTTTTTTGGCATTTCCATCAAATTTTTAAAGCCTTCTGACAACACAAGCTTTCTGCTAGAAGTGCATGTCTAACCATCTTCCCGGAGGATATGTCAGAACAATAAGAAAAAGCGCAAATCTTACTTTTTAAATGGATGAGCAGCAAAAAACTGAGGTAGAAGATGTGTATAGAGTTAATTCTTGAATGAGCCATATTCATCTTGATAGGACATCCTCCACAGAGTTGCCTGTTGTCCAAAGGGCCGGTGCTGATCCTCAGTGCTTTCTCCTCGTGTCTGAAGCTAAGGGCACAGCCGGGGCAGCCAGCCCCCTAGGAGCCATCTCTGCCCGTGCCCCCCAGCCTGCCCACTCTGAAAAACCTGCAGACTTCGATTCAAGAGGCACTTGCGCTTGTTAGGGCTTTACTTCGGCAGGTCCGAGTGATTATTCAAACCTGGCGCAGATTTGTGTGGGAGCTGGACTGGAGTCTGTCCCTGGCGTGGGGAATGGTGCGCTCTGCTCCGCCCGGCTGCCCCCGCAGCGCAGGCACGGCACAGCGCCCGGAGTGCCCAGACCTCATCACCCATTATCGCCCACCCAGCCCGGATACACCGCACTCCTAATCCTCAGTGCAAACGCTTGAGGTTTTCTTGCACACTCAGCTCACAAACACTTCCTGCTTCCTGATTTTTTTTCTGTTATATTACACCGTTTGCACATGAAGTGAAAAGATGAAACATCCACCTTCTGAGTCTTTAGTTAGTGAGATGTTAGCCTGCTTTTTTCCTTAGTATTAATTTTTTGTTGTTGTTGTTGGTACTGTTTACACTGGAGTGACTAAAAAGCACACTTCTGGGAGCTGGCACAGGACATCTGAGCTTCATCAGGCTGTCTTATAATCTTGAACTGCCCATGGAGGAGTCAGTCACAGAACCAGAAGGTGTTCCAGCAGGATCAGTAAGAGAAGGGGGTGGCGGCAGGGCATGGACTCCATTTGGTTTTAGCCAGGGCTGGTATTAAAGAGCTGGTATTAAGTGCCTGTACAAGGGGAGTCTTCCCCAGCTGCCCCAGCAGCTCCTCAGCCCTGCACGGCACAGGCAGTGTGCTGTTTGTGCCCAGCGCTGTCTGTGTGCAGTGCCTCATCCACGGATCACCATTCCATTCACAGATAAAATCCTTGTCCTGCTCTAGCAGAAGGGAAAGTGAGGGCAGACAGAAGCAGCCCCAGGAGCTGTGTTCATCCCATGATCCAGTACAAACTCTGGCCCTCTGGCACCTCACCACCCAGTCTGTGTGTCCACTGTGGGGGAGCTGTGCACAGCAATTAGTGCCACAGCACCATTCTGGTCCTGAGACCAAGGCAGAGACGAGCTGCCTGTTTGGCGGTGAATGAAGTGGAACCTTTCCACCATCTTCACCTCTACCCATCCTCCTGGTCTTTGGCTCTTGGCATTTACTCTCCCTGCCTCAGTGAGAATTCAGGCATTCCCAAGCCCAGGAACAGCCTGAAAAATCTCGTTGGTCATTGCTATGCTATGTTACTGTCAAACAGGTAACAGTCAATACATTTGGTATTGTATTTGTCCTCCCCACTTCAGCAGAATGTTAATCCCCCAGTTCAGGAAGCCTTTGCAAATGAGTTTAATTTTACATGTACACTTAACTGAACAAAGTACAAGCTGAAATTCAAGTATATGCTGAAGGCCTCAGATGAGTAGGAAGCAGACTGTTGATGCCAACTTGCATTCACTGAAGTTGTTTATAATAGGTAGGTACTTTCACATCACTCATTAAGCTCAGTGAACTAATTAATTTAAATTTTTTTCCTGCAGCAAAGCTCTTTCTTCTTTCCCATCTCACTTATGTGGAGCTTCACTTACCCACTGCTGACCTTGTGGCACACTTTTCCAGACCCTCTCTCCCTTCTCCTGGCACCAGCAGTTCAAGCAGCTCTACCATCTGCTTTCCAGGAAGCCTCCACCCTCCCACTCCCCTGAGCCTTCCTATTCCACTCAGCAGCTCTGATCTCTCTGATGACAACCCAGGCTGGATTTCCTGGCCAAATGTCGAGGGTTATGAACATAATGATGAATAGGGGTCCTAGTGGAAAGTACTTAGATTAACTACCAAGTTAAATATAATTAAATGGCTAATTGTAGTTTTCAGCTGTTTCACTTTTTGTAATCCCCTTTTATATTTACATATGTAGTTGTTTGGATGTTTTCTTCTCCTTGCCATCTGTCTACTTTGTTTCTGTTTGAAATTATGCAGTAAGATATATAATCATTACAACATGAACACGAGAATACCACTGTCATCTGGGAATTCTTTTGTCAGGCTAAATGATGCAGTTTAGCTCAGTGCTGATTGCCTGCTTTAAGTGCATTATTATTTAAATTTGTCACTATATAGCTTACTCAGAACAACAGTATTTTCTGGATTCATATCCTAGTCAATTTGAAAAAGAAATCCTGTGAGTATTCAGAAAGATAGACTCCTAATTTAAGCAAATACAGTTTTCAGTTCTGAGGAATATATGGTAAGTACTTCAAGAAAACAGTCACATCTATTCAATCTGGATATTTTTTCTGAAAAATACACAATTGTAAAATCTGTACTCTGAGGAAACGTAGCAGTTCTCAGACATGAGGATACACCACCAATCTGAGAACTTAAATGTATTGTGTTCACACATATGTTGACATTGGAATTAAATACTCTGCCATGTAACTCTGTGGTAATTACAAAACATACAGCAAGCATATGAACACTTCCTAGGTATTCTGAAAGCTATTAAAATGTAATCACTTTCATAATAACCAAAAGAGCTGGTTTTTTCAGCCTGTTTGAAACTTAGCTCTGCGTTTCCCAATGCCTTTTTTCAAATGTTTCTTCTTCGTGAGCTATTTATATCCCAGAATATAATGGAGAATAAACTAAATTAACTTATCACTGCCCTAATTCCTTGAAGTTGCCTACAGGAGGAGGTTTGAATTTCTGTATGCATATCATCTGTACACAGTGAAACACAACATCTAAATGTATTTTCCATGCTTTCTCAGTACAGCTTAGCTTTGATGAGATTCTGCAGTCACAGAAGTCAGAGGCTATGCCATTTTCTCAGGGAAAAGGGATTTGTGTTGTCATTTGCTTTCACTTAAGTGCTGCTTTTTCTGTTCTGATTGCTTCCATGCAGTAATGACAGAGTGATGTGGTATCAGACTACACTAGTTAGTGTCATTTCTTCTAAGACATTTTATGCAACTCTGTCCAGCTAAATTAATTGTATAACATCTTTTGCTTCCTGATATAAGCAGTGTTTTCAATTTTCAGATGACAGCAGTACTAATTAATTGTGTATCTTCTGCTTCTCACTGGTGGGCATGTTTTCTGATTGTTCAATGTTGCTCCAGTTTAAAGTGTAATTTTTATTGATGCCATCCTGTGCCTTCTAGGTCAGATATATTTACAGGTGATTTTCCCAAGCAATTGGCACTTATTTTCCAATGTTTTGTTAGTTTAAATGTAAACTACAAAATAAACAGAAAGTAGAATAGTTAAGTAATTAATGTAAAGTGTAAAATTATCTTGCAAGTGGAAGATGCGAGTTTGCAAAATGCTTGATGCTGACTAACCTGAAGCTTTTAAAAATCCCTTTCTAATTTTAAAAATCCCTTTGCCCACTGGCAAGTAAGACACTGGTAATAGTCAGGAACAGCTGGGTGATTTCATGCTCAAATTAAATGTACTTTGAGCAGGTGGTCACTTCCCACCATATATTCCTGCAATTCTCTTTATATAGAGATTTCCTATAGCATTAGATTTCCTGCACAAGCTCCAACCTATACTAGCTCAGTCCCCAGTTCTGCATACTTAATGCAGAAAGCCTCTATTTATAAAATAATCCCTGATTTTCCCTAAGGACTTTCTTACTCATATTCAGAAGTGCTTCTTGTGTACATCTTCTCTTATGTTCTTGCTGAATTTCATCAGGGATTAAACTGGGTTTCTAAATTTCACTGGTCTTCCCAGTTCACCTATGGGAGAGCTTCATTTATTAAAAAAAACTACGGAGCATTCAAGCATGAAGTCACTCTGGTCTGACATCCTGGTTTGAGTATTAAATACAGTCTGAATTATTTATTGAAAACTGAGGATGATGGAGTTTCCTAGAACAATGGATCTGACCAAGTGATCCAAATCATCTTCCTGTTTACGGTACTTTATGTATCTCTTCAGTAAACATCTGATAGATAATTTCTTTTCTGCACCTTGTTGCACTTCGGGTAATTATGAGTGGACAAACCAAGGCCATGGATAAATCATTGTGAGCAAGGGATGGCTGAAAGGTCTTGTAGATTGAATTGTATTGTAAGAGGAAGTTGTTCACCTCACTAACAAAACCACTATAGATCTATTTGCATTTTAATTGGGCTCCTTGCAACAAGGACAACTCTAATTGCAACTCCTGATTTCCTGCAACACTTGCAAAGTTAACCACCCACAAAAGAACTGGGCAAGAGAGAACTGGAATCTCCTTTAACCCATGCTTTTCCAGAGACAAATATTTGATTACTGTATTTAAATTCTTAGTCTATAAATGCTACTTCTTTTGAGCTTTCTCTTCCTTTTTATTAGGGTGTACAAATTGTACAAATATTTTGGGTTTTGAACTCTTGCTTTGCTCCTTTTATGTCTTTCTCAGCCAGAATAAAGCACTAGAGCATGACCTGTCAGTTCTGCCTATTTTCAGGTTACTAATGTTTTTATGAAACTGAAGGGCTTTATCTGAAAATGTAAAATTATTTTGCAAGACCTGCCAAGCATATTGCTTTCTTAAATTTAATACACTTTTTCAAATTATGACTATTTTTTTTTTATTCCCATGGTAGCCACTTTCCTACTGAGTAATAAGGGATTTCTATGTGCCAACCTAAAATACAAATTTAACCAAATGTTTGGTTTTTGCTCTGATCTTTGTAACCAAAGATTACAGGAGTGTCAAGCTGATTTGCTCAGATAGCTCTAATTTTGGATGTGATATAAATAGTGAGAGCAATAAAAGCTGTTTCAGTTTTCATATGAAGTCTCTCCTGGGTATTTTACACATTGGTAGGCAAAACAAAGTGGCTTTGCAAGGTAGGACAGGATTCCCCTGGAACCTGCAGAAGTCAATAAAGTGTGTGATTCATTCATTCTTATCTTTGATGAATTTTTGTAAAACAACATGTTTTTATCATATTGTGTGTGGCTGGGAATCTGGGATCAGAAAGCAGGGAAGCAAGAGGCATCACCAGGGAAGCAATTTCAATCAGATGACTGCTAGGTCAGGCCTTGTCAATGCAGATGAAAATTGGCAATTAGTATTCTGTACCTTGCTGCTAATGAGCCATCTAATCAGGAAGTTTCTGTCTGTACCAATAACCTTTCTATGAGTGCCAAGGTTACAGGAGTGCTTGAGAAAATGAAGCAAATTGTGTTTTTACAA